ATATCAATATGACTGACAATCGCTTTGTTTTTCATCAGAGGAAGAATTACATTTTTATTTCAATGTAAACCCCGTATCCCCTTTATAGCCCCGACTATCCTTAGAATTTACATTCATTGATTCCATCATTAGTAGACCTTTTTTAACCCATATGAAGCAAAATGTATTCTAAAACTTGCACAAAATATGAACAAAACAATTTGATGTGGCCTTCAACTCGACCTTTATATATATATGATGAAATATCATTAATCATATTCTAAAAGCATTGTACTGACATGTATAGGGGGCATAAAAATGAAATCAATGTGTCTGAATTTTCATTATTTTTAAAATTTAGATTAAAATATCAAAATCAAACTATTTTAATTTTTATTTCAAGTGTTTCATTTCACTTTGTTATATATATACATGTAACTCTAAACCGCTATAAAAGACGACCTCTAAGCGTAACGTCACTGATTTTCTTGCTACTTCCTGGACAACACAATAAAATAATCGATCATTCCAAATCAATAGAACTTCATATATTCTACGTAGGTTGAAATGAAAACTGTTTGCATTTCATTCAACTTTAACAACTGAATTGTTGTAGCCCGGTGCAGTGATGGACGTGTATGTCGGAACAAGGAAGTAGAATGAGAGCTCGAAAAATAAATAAATCATGTTGATTTAAGTTTATTTTATATTTTACATCTCTTTATCTATTTTCAAAGAAAATTAAATTGACGGTTACTGAGTTCTTTTAACCGTTTTAACTTCTAAACTAACAGCAATCATACTAATAAATATTAGTATGATTGTGATACAATGTAATAGTGATGTAATATAATTCATGTATGTGTAAGGTAGGGAAATCTTACTCTATCATCACAAGTTTTAGGTACAAATGAAATCCTGCCATGTATAATTTTCCTAAGTTTCATTTGAATCAAATCACTAGTATTAACATATTTTTCAATAACACTGCAATATCATGTGTAGACATGGACCGATTATTGTGAGGTGTCATGTATTTAAATCTAAATTTAATTTACTTCTTTCAGATCCTATCGTATGTTTTTTTTTAATGGATATCTTCTCTTTTTCTTGCAGAATTGAAATTCTATACCTTTTATTAATTGTTATCATTGAAGTTGAAACAGTGTATAAATAAATATTAGTTCTAAGATTTTATTTTCATCTATCATGGCAAAGAGCACACGGTAGGTGTGACCGGTCTGGGCTTACTTGTTGCTCCATTAACGTTAAAAAAAAAAAAAGATTTTTTAAAAAAGACAATGATAGTGAAAACCTATTCATTTTAATAGAGAAAACCTTTCAAGCGTGAAATCTTTCGTGTCTTCTTCATCCGTTGCTTTTCCTTTCCTGTGTAGAAAGAATTGAAATGAAATAAACAAAAGCACCTTTTAATGACAGTCATTTCATGCAATTTTGCAATTTTGAGTTCTTACCAACCTTTAGTACATCTTCATGATTGGTGCTATATGTAGTAACATGTAATCCAATTCAAATTAAACAAAAGTAAATCCAGACAATTTATGTAAAGAATTTTACCTGATCAAGATCTTCTACAGGCTGGATGATATGGGGGGAGACAAGGACACTGGGCCCTGATACACACACAACATCGTGGATCAGGCCAGGGGGATCTCCATCCAGGTCCTTATGAAACAAAAATGTGTGAACTTACAGGCTTTATTCGTTTCTCAACAAACAATATTGTTTAAAACTATGGAAATAAAATTATGATAACAAGTCCCAGGTACAATGATACTATAAACTTAATTGTTGTTGTTGTTGGTCTTTTTGTTTTTTGTTTTTTTTGGGGGGGGGTGGTCTGTTTACGTATTTTTGATTGAAGGTTAAAATTTAAAAGAATGATAAAAATGACATTCTGTGGAAACCTCAATTTGTTCGTGGGCACAAATGTGAGTGGATTTGTTGGGTCACTCTTATCCAAAAATTCACGTCCCACAAACAAGTATTTTGTTAACGTTTTTATTCGTACTAGTTACATGCACCATAATTTTTTTTTTAATTACAAAAATTAAACAAATATATAACAACCGTACAATAGAATTGTGTAATGATTTCTCCGATTGGTCGATTTTACAAGGTGAACAAGGCGGATGTGAACGGTTGACATGGGAGTCTTCCTTCTCTATGGCACCGGATCCAACTTCTGACGTTTTGGAGGTCCGTGTTCGCTCTGCTCCTGATTTTTGTGTGAATTGACTTTTTAGCTTAACTACCGTTCGTTATCTGCATATTCCACTGATGTTTCTTGAGTATTTTATTTTCATTGTCGAATGATGTAGAATGATCATATGAATCCCTATGACAAAATAAACAAGATTTCTGAATTATGGATGAAATAGATTTAAATTTTTCTTACACCTCTTTTTCTGTTGTTACAAACTGATTTATTTTTCTATGGAATTTGATAAGAGCCTTTCTTTTGATTTTGAAATTCTTCATTATTTTACCAAGAGAAAGAAAAGTTTGCCAAATAGAAGTACATTGTATATCTTTATCTAGCCATATGCAATTTTTAAAGATCAAAGTCATTAGGAAAATCTATAGCTAAACTAATTTCTTTTGATGGTACCTTTTATTCTCTTTAGAGAAGTGAACAAGATTTCGCCTACAAGGCCTGTCCACTTCTCCAAAGAGAATAAGTACCTCTATATGTTTGTAATTTCTCTCCACCGGAAATGAATTAAATTTCACGTGCCTCTTCCGAGAACATAATTTTTTTTTCTACATGACATTTAACTGAGCGATTTTTTCCAAACACTTTGCAGATATGTTACGTACCTGCATTAGCGAGTCCTATTACTGCCAATGCAATAAGAGCAAAAAAAAAAAAGCAACACAAATGTCCACTTCATTTTGTGTCATCTGATTCAACATTATCGTACCATTATATATCCCTGCGTTGTTTTTTCCAGGAATTTGATAAACATGCTAAGTCAGTTTTAGAGGAACGTTTTTACTTGCTAAGCATAGGAAAACAAAGCATAAAAATGTTTTGTTTTTAATTAAGATCAAAATATAAATATTAGGATGAAGACTGTAAATGTTATTTAACATAGAGAACAGGCTTGTCAGAACCGGTGTTTCCTGGAGACTTCTTGTTCATTATTATGTCGGCAACGTATAACCATCAATCAACAATGATTATTTCCATTCATATATCGACACGGTATATCCCAGTGATTTTGAAATTAAAAATACCACAGAGTCTGACACATCTGTTTCTTATTAGGATACCGGTATTTTACTAAAAGAAGACGTTAACAAAGAAGATTTATGATAAACGTTATGACTTTTACTTTTTCAATCGTTGACTTGCTTCCTAACGTAGAAATATACCCCTATCAGCAGCATATTGTGTTAATTAATATCTTTCAGTTGAATAGATATGCAAGAACATTTCTTAAACGAGCTGTTATTGACAAACAAATTGATAAAAAAAAAAAGAATAGCCTCGTCCGAAGTCATTACATCGCCAGTTTTTTGTCGATACAGTGACTGACTGACGTTTTTCTTACTTATTTAGCCAGTTATTTTTCCCAGTATTTTCTCGACCACTACAAAGAGCACACAGTGGGTGTGACCGTTTGGCAGCGGATGCTCACTAGTTTCCTCCATCCCTTCCCTGATGTTTCAGATGTCCATGTTTGCTCTGCTTCTGATCTGTATTGTTTGAATGGACGTTTGAGCTTGATTACTGTTCGTTATCTCTATATTTTTCATTCATCGTTTTTAATTGAATTTTTAAATGACCAAATTTTTATAAATTAAAATAAGAAGTAAAACTTACAGTGCTAACATGTTTATTATTTAGACATGTTTTTATCCATTAAAAATCTAAGGAGACCTGTCTTTGATTCTTCATCAACTGTTACATCAATTATTTTTCACAAACCAAGTGTTTACTTACCTTGTTTATTTATCTATGTAGCAATATACACCTATCACCTACACAGATTTATATCTCCCCATTGATTCGCAAGAGCATGCTATACATATGCAGAGTTTCTGAAACGATGTAAGTTTTTGACAAACAAGTTTCTGAAAACGAGGATATCAACAGTCTTGTTTGAAGTCATCATTTCGCGCGTTTTTGGTCAATACAATAAGTTTTGTCAGCAAATAGAATATATCTTTAAGTTTAATGCTGAGTGATATTTTTCATATCAATTATCAGGTAAAAATTCACATACTGAATTGTCGACTGATTTTCCCGATTATGACAAGGATGCTTACTTTTCCATGGCACCTGATCTCACCTCTTTTCCTAGTTCGCATTGTTTCAAGGGACTTTTATGTTATTTTATATGTACATCCAAAGTGATTTTGTTAATAATACATGTACACGCACGTTCTGTATCATTTACTGTTATCCTAAACATCACGGTTTTTTCATATTTAGTGTCTTTATAGATGGAAGATCGACTTATTTGTAAAAATATTTTGTGTCTCATATGATAAGCTTCCCTTTTATTAATGAAGATAATGGTGGATTATTTGATGAAAACATATTTACACTACACATATTAGCTTATCCTTTTTCTCATGATCATAACATTTTTTCTTTACATTTTGACACTGTTGAAGGAAGAAAATATAGTAGTCTGAGCTTAAAATATATACCGTGGTTTATCTGACGATCCAGCAATCATCAAATCTCGCACTGAACATTCAGATAAGTTATCAATCCATAACATTGTCTAGTGAATCTAATTAGTTTTATTTATAAAGATAAAAACAAAACTTTAGCAACATCAACTCACAATAATTTAACTTTTACCTAGTGGACATTTCGTTTCATAAGCCAAAGGTTCAAGTTAACTGATTAAAAAGGTACTGCAATCAAATGAGATAACAATAACAATAGAATGATAAAGCGGTCAGCCGTTGTATGAGTGAGACGAAAGGACTTCATAAAAAGCATGACTATACAGATATATTATTAGTTGCTCAGTAAAAAAAGAGAAGAAAAATGTTAAAAGCTACAGATGAAGGTTTACTGACTTACGAGGAAGGAGAAGCGAGGCCCATCAAGAGGAGGCTGTTACTTAACTTTGCTGCAATATGTATCATGTGGATATTTTCTTTCACGGCCTACTCTGGACTGCAGAATTTAGAGTCCAGTCTAAATCCAGGTGTAGGTGTATACTCACTGGCCGCTCTGACGGGCGGGGGACTCATCTCGTGCCTTTTAGCTCCGGTTATTATTAGTTATATTGGTAGTAAAGGAGCTTTGGTGGTTTCATGGATTGCTCTGTGTATCTATGTGGGTGCAAATTATTATCCCGCGGGGTACGTCCTCATCCCAGGAGCGGGGATAGAGGGTCTGGCCACAGGACTCATGTGGACCGCGCAAGGTGCTCTGGTGACCTCCATTGCGATGGAATATGCGAAAATAACAGAGGGAAGCTTCGATCATATCCTGAGTAAATTCTTTGGCATCTTCTGTGCAGCGTTTCAGAGTACACAGATTTGGGGCAATCTCATATCCTCTTTGGTTCTCGTCAATGAAAACAGTTCCTTAAATGTAACAACTCCTGATTATTGTGGAAGAAATTTCTGCCCGATAACAATAAAGCCGGAAACTAAAAACACTACAAAAGCAGGAATACATCCTGAGAGTAAAATAGAAATCATTCTCCTCAGTGTGTACATGGGTTTCTCTGCAGTTGGTTTGGTTGTTACCATCATCATGCTCAGGCCAATGAAGCAGGAGTCCAATGGCCCGACCGAGTCCTTCAGATCGAAGCTCGTCTCCACTGTTCGTCTGCTCGTCACTAACTCCAATATGGCGATGCTGGTGCCGTTCTATCTTTGGACTGGCCTGGAACAAACGATAGTGTATGCTGAATTTACTATGGTAAGTCTAACTTGATTGATTTATTTAATTATTTACCTCGTGGTTACAATAACCTATGGTCAGATGATGGAAAAAAGACATCAAGGCTGTTGTCTTGTTTTTCCCATCGGTGTGAAAAGGTTCCGTACAATAGCATGAATATATACATTTGTTCTTTATATTATAACAAGAAATTGGTAAAACTGTTAAGATCTTCAATGCAGTCAAGATACTGTAATTTCAACGATAAGCAAGATTTGGTATGTGTTTACTGTAAAAGGTTCAGACCATCTGCGCAGTAGGAAATACTTGTACTCAGAATTACGCAAAAGCAAGGCCCTTATGCTTAAATTAAAATTATATAGTTATTTTATTTCATTTCTTTGTTAGGCTAATGTATATCATTAAGACATTTGTTCTTTTTTCTTAGGCTTATGTGACGTGTGAGATAGGTATCGAATGGATAGGATACACCATGATATGCTTTGGGGTCACCAACACTATTGGCTCTCCAATTAGTGGCTTTCTAAGTAAACATGTGGGCAGACCCACCCTGTTTATCATTGCCACTGCTCTGAACATTGGTGCCCTCATTGCTATGGAACTTTGGCATCTGGCCAGAAAACAATTAATTATATTCTTTGTTATTCCGGGTATATGGGGACTTGCGGATTCTATATGGCAAACACAAAGTGCAGGTAAATTTCATTTATCAAATCAAGTACACTGTCTTAAATGTGAAATTGTATGAAATTCTGTATTTTTAAGATTATGTACTTTACATAGTAAAGTAAAAAAAGTTAAAGTAATATACGCCGTATGGATGCCGATTTGTATGTGAAACAAAATGATTAAATGATTTGAAACACATAAAGTGTAATGAAAAAATAATATTTCCACAAAATTTAACTATAAAACTCGTTGTAATAACAGAACAATAAAGCAATATCTGCAATCAAGAATTCAGTCTTTTCATGAATATTGATAAAGGAAGTGCGTAAACAGTAGGTCTAAATATAGACACGTATGTCCACGGGAAATTATAGACAACGAGGCACGTTGCATTTTGACAACGATTATTAATAAAAGTTTAATATGCGTCATAACAGAGTATAGATGGTTGATACTGATTACATTTAAAGATAAGTTATATTAATAGTAACACGCCATCCATGTCAAAAGTGAGTTGTATCTCAAAGGGCTTACCTCGTTTTCTTGACGCCGTGTTTGTTTATCAATCTAAAAGTAGCGACGGCGTCACGTGGTGGATTTACTTAAAATAGACATTATTCTCCTTGCACGATAATAAATAATTATAATTTGATAACTTTATAACGAATTTTATTTAAATGGTGTAATTTACAGCATTTTCGTAACTTTTATTGGTAAACAAAATATATAAATTTCCAGCCGTATTTTAAAATGGCGCACGTTATAGCGTATATTACTTTAATCTTTCTATATGTTTAAGCAACATCAAAGACATACATGTACAAATATAAACAAATTTTGTAACATTGATTTCGTTTGCAGCTTTGGTTGGTTTGGCATTCTCCGACAAGCAGGAACCGGCCTTTTCCAATCTCCGTATGTTCCAGGCGCTGGGTTTTACAATAGGGTACCTGTATAGCAACCACCTTTGTGAATATCTAAAACTGTACATCGCCGGGGGAGAGCTCGTTCTGTCTATGATCCTGGTGTTCATCGTGGAATTCAGACTCAGAAGAAACTCTCCAAAGACTGTGAATTTAGTCATTTAAACGAATTTATTTAAATAAACACGATTGTACACTGAGGTTCGAATTAGAAGAATTCTTAAATATAAATGTTGTAAGCAAGATTTATGTTACCAGCTTTTGTGTCTTCATGAACTTGTGTCACAACCTATAAACTTCTTTTTCAAATAAATTATCATGATTATCTTGACGAGTATTAAAAATTTAGCTTCTATAGACAAGCCTAATAAGTTTCACAACTGATGAATGTTCTAGCAATGCGCACCTCTTCAAGTTTAGACCAAGGACGTAAAGTTATTTCTGGAATAGACCAAGCTTCAACATGTTTATTATGCCACCCCCACCCCTTCTTCATCGAAGATCTTTGGGGATATACACTTGGTCTGTTTGTTCCCTTATATTTCTGTTTGTCTGTTGTTACCAAGGAATCTGTTTGCTAGCAAAAACGTTTACTTTGGTATAACGTTTGACTTCACATGTGAATTCCTTGTGACAAGGTCTTTCTTAGGTACTAATGTATTACCATCTTAATCTGGACTCTAGAGATTGACCTGCTTTTGCAAAGGCATGCCGAACTTTAACCCTGACAATATTTTTTTTGGGGATGGATGAAACTAGGCCTAAAGCCTGTATATTTCATAGGCGTTTCAAGTGTCCAGACTTCATGATCTTGATGTTTGATCTTTGAAAAAAATAAACTTTTTGTATTATTTTAGAACAGTTGCTGCTAAGGCTTTCAAAGTTCATTTTTCTGCATTCCTTATGACAAGGCCTTTACTTTTGTATCTTATTAATGATCTCATCCATGGACCTTGGTCTAAAAGCTACTTTTGAGAGAAAAAAAAAACTTTGGTTTTTTTTTTTTGGTTTTATTTTCTAAATGGTTGGTACTAAGACTGTTTACATTTCACCAGTATATTCTTCGTAATAGTACCTGTCCTTGGATATCAACATTTCTTGACTACTGACTTTGAAGTTTGACTTACAATTGAAAAACTTAAACCATTGCCTTAAGCTGCCATGTTGGGCCATTAATGGTTCTCAGAGATATATCTTGTTCATCAGGAAAATGCCGGTCATATACATCATCTGAAAAATACCTGGTAGTGGCATCATCCAAATGTGTCTAATCGTTACAGGGCTTATTGTTACCAAGGAATGGATCTGCTGCAAAAACTTAAACCTTTTTACTTATTCAGAATACAGTGTTCAATACTACTGTCTGAAGCAAGTCTGGTAGTAAATATGGATGCTGCATCTTAAGGGATGCACAATACCAGATTTGGTTTGAATGATGGATATGATCTACATCTTTGGGACACAGGTTTTGGAGCAAGTCCATTTCCAAAGAATGATAATTTTTATGGACAACAAACTTGCAAAGATGCTTTATCTATGAAATGTATACATGTTCGTCCAGATATGTTTTGGAGATCTGGCATCATTTTCCAATAATTGAAAAGGTCAAAGATTTAGGAGCAGGTCATTTCCAAATGAACAATCAGTCCTGCAGTATTGTATCCAACTTGCATGGATTCTCAAAATTTAATTCACATGCATAAATCGATACCAATGAAACAACAATAAATAATTTACTGGATACCCCAGGAGAATTTTGTTTTAAACCTGTAAGTTTGTAGCTGGGAAAAATTACTCACTTGCGGACAGTTTTTGATTTGACTAATTAAAAAACAAAAACAGGACACATTTGAAAATAATATGTTTTAAGGACAGATGATACAAACAATTTTTTTGTTTGGAAGAGTCTTAATAGCATGTCTCGAGTTTAGAAAAGTGGATAATTCTTAGAATTTTTTATCCTAAGAACTGGAAAATGAAATAGACTTGGAAAATATTAGTAATATTTCAATGAAAAAACAAAAATAGACAAATCACACTAAGTAAAGGTTTACAGGTGAAAACAAATTTCATAATATGTTATCTTGGTGCTAAAGTGCAATGTAAACCCTAGAAAAATATACCAAGCCAGGTGATTTTTAGGAAGAAAAACAAGATGACAAAAATTCATCAATATCATATACGCTAATTTTTACTATTTTGCTTTTCCTGATAAAAGTAACCTGGCTTGGTATTCTTTTCTAAAGATTATTTTACACTTTTTGCACCAATATAACATATTCTAAAATTTATTTTCTTCTGTAAACCTTTACTGAGTGTGTTTTATCCATATTTGTAATTTTATTGAAATATTACTAAAATATTCCAAGTCTATTTTATTTTCCAGATTTTTGGAGAAAAAATTCTAAGAAATATCCACTTTTCTAAACTTGAGACTTGATATCAAGTCTCCTCCACAGAAAAAAATTGTTTGTATCATCTGTCCTTAATTCCAGAAATAAAAAAAAATTGAGTAAATCATTATTTTGAATGAGTATGTACATGAAATAGGAAAAATACTAACATTAATATGTTATGTTAGTGAAGAGACTCTAAACTCAGTATTACTAATGCAAATTTTGCAATCTGCATTTAGCATTTTTATGACTAAATGTAGTTCATCTGTTAAAGCTACATTTTGAAACGAAAAAAATGAATTTGGCTATATTTTCTGAATGGTTGGTACAAAGACTTACATTTCATCCGTATATTCCTTGTAAAAGTACCTGTCCTTGGGCACATTTCTTGACCGCTGACCTTGAAGTTTGACTTACAATTGAAAAAACTTAAATCATTGGCGTAAGGCAGCTGCCATATTGGGCCATTAATGTTTCTCAGAGATATCTTGTTCATCAAGAAAATGCCAGTCATATACAACATCTGAAAAATACCATCATCCAAACATGTCTAAACTTTACAGGCCTCATCGTTACCAAGGAATGGATTTGTTGCAAAAACTTAAACCTTTTTACTTATTCGGAATACAGAGATCAGACCTATACTTTCTGAAGCAAGTCTGGTAGTGAATATATGGATGCTGCATCTAGGGATGCACAATACCAAATTTGCTTTGGATGGTGGATATGATCTACATTTTTGGGACAAGGGTTTTGGAGCAAGCCCATTTTCAAAGAATGATAATCCTCAAGAATGTAATAAACTTGCAAAGAAGCTGTATCAATGGAATGCACTCGTCCAGATATGTTTTGGAGATTTGGCATCATTTTCCAATAATTGAAAAGGTCAAAGATTTAGGAGCAGGTCATTTCCAAATGAACCACAAGTCATGTAGTAGTGTATCCAACTTGCATGGATGCTCAAAATTAAATTTACCAGCACAAATTCAGATACCAATGAAAAAACAATAATTTACTAGATACCCTAACAGAATTTTGTTTTAAATATGTACATTTGTAGGTGGGAAAAATCACTTGGTAAGTTGGTAAAAAATCATAAAAAACAAAAACAGGACACATATTAAAAAATAACGTTTTAATTCCAGAAGTAAAAAAATAGACATCATCATTATTATGAATGAATATGTACATAAAATAAGAAAATTACATTTATATGTTATATTAGCTTAGAGACTCGATCTAAACTCAGTGTTACTTAATGCAAATTCTGCAAACTGCTTTTAGCATTTTTATGACTAAATGCACTTCATCTCGTGAGGAACTGCAATAAAGTAAATAATATACAGCCATACATATAATTCATTTAATGTTCAATCTGTGATACCCAATGCCCTCTGCACATAATAACACAAGGCATTAATTCTAGAAAAATTTCAAAAAGGAGAGCATGAATTACTTTGGTCTATAACCAATTAATATTTGCAACAAATATCTAATATAATCAGATAACAAATAAATTGTTTCAGCACCAAAGTCTTGTGTAACAAGGACCATTGAAGTGATGATTTAAAAAATACAAGAATAGTAAAAAAAGGCAGTCCTCAAAAGTAGAAAAGAAACTTTTTCAGAAGCAAGAGTGTTTTAAATTGAAGGACTTCTTTTGAAACATCCCACTCAAGAAAACACACATTCCTCAATTTTTATTCATTTTTTTTTTCATTTCAGACCAAGAAAACAGTCTCTGCACTTTCAATTATTATGTTTGTGATCTTCAATCATATACTTCTGTATATAAATAAATGACAATATTTAGAAAATATAAGCAGATAAAGAACAAGGTTTACTTATGGCATTATTTGGCTCTGTGAATTTCTGTAAAAACTGAAACTGCTTAATTTTAGCTAACAATGCATTCAATATCATCTGGACCTTTGATGATTGCATGTCTATCAAAAATGACGTAATTTTCTGTCTAGTCAGTGCATTATGACGTCACAAAATGTGTCAATTTCAATCTCAAAAACTAGCATCAAAACATGCAAAGGCACAATATCAAAATGATTCTTTATTTATTTATTTTTAAAATAAACTTACAAGATACAAACAATAATTTAAACTATTCTTGTTTTGTCAAAATCACAGTGAATATACATTAATTTCTCTTTTTATCTTAACAACTTCAGTCCTATTATTAACTCCAAGATAAAATGCTAAACATTTCTTAGCTTAACTTTAACTTTTGGGACTTACAAGACATTTATTGCAGCTATATTCTACAGAGTATTATATCTAACATGGAAATAAAAAAAAATAGAGTACTATTCACATCTGCAGAAAGTAGAGGTCTATTGAATATCTACTGAATATTGTGTCATAAAAATATAATATTTTAAAGCAAAGAGCTTATCAGAGATTATAGAGCTCACCTCAACTAATGTTATCTTTAAAGTAAGGCAAAGTCGCACACTAAACTACTAATCTAGTACTGTGCATCCTTAGATGAAATATTTAGGTCAATTTGGTTTTATTAGGTTGCAGTACATGTAACTTGGAAATGGACTTTTAGTCTAATTTTAACAATGGTTCATAAACTTTAACCTGGTCACTCATCTCTAAAATGTAGGTCAGATCTAGTATCTGAAGCTAGTTCATTAGTATGCATCCTTAGATGTATCATCCCTGCAAGTTTGGTAAATATAAGGTTTATAGTTACTTTTGAATGACACCTACTCCAAAAACTTTAACCTGCTTTCAAAGTACTGTGTTCATTCCTTTGTTGAAATTGCAGCATATGAAACCTTAACTGGTAAACAAAACATAATAGAAGTATGCTTATGCTCCAAGATTCATGAATTAATATGATAGAGCACAATAGAAGTACTTGATTAATAAACTTGAAAAGAAATCTGCTCCAAAAACATCAACCTGGGATGCTGACACCAATGCCAATTTTCATTGTGGATAATTCTCCCCAACTTTGTTGAGGTGAACTAAATGTGCGTTTTTGTTCAGAGTTTTGTTGGTATTACACTTTACAAAATATTTCATAACATGACTGAACACTGTGGGCTTTTCTTTATTTTAGAAACCACCAGCTTTAATTAAGCTGTCCTTTCATCTGTTCCCTCTCTGACTCCCACTTGACACAAAACCTTCTCTTCTTTCATCTCGAAAAGATCTCTCATGCACCCCAGCTAGCCGTGCTGGTTTGTTTATAGCCACCAGATGCTGCGTAAGGTTTAAAAGCCGTGCCACCACAATAAAAACAAACATTCCTACAAATTCTAGACCTGCTAAAAAGAAGAAATAGTAATCCAGGTGACACGACTTATTGTATGTTCCATCAGAATTACAGGGCATGCGACAATTAATATTGCCAAAATCTTCTTGGAAGAACCAGGTTCCTTTGAAGGCAAACATGGTGCCTGTTCCCAGCAGGCTGCCAATCCCAGTAAAAAGATAAAAGAATCCCATGATGATCCCTTTCATTGACTTTGGTGCCATCTGGTAGGCGAATTCCAAAGCTAAAAAGAAAGATAACTCTAAATGTACTCTCTACATTTCTATCTGTTTGATGGTGTATTTCATGTGCATGTACATTTGATGAGGGAAAGATAAAACTTTCATTCAGATATAATTTGACAATAATAAAATCATCATTTATTATTCATTTATTGATATTCAGTCTATGGTGAAAAATTCATAAGTCGGTAACCTACCAGCCACACTTGCAAACACTTCACTGATCCCAATCAGAGCGTATTGTGGGATCTGCCAGAAAACACTCATGTCTGCCGCTCTGTAGACAGTGTGACCTGAAACATGTTCAAATATGCAATAAAATATTATTATCAAAATGGGAGTATATTCAAGGATAAGTTTCTTCCTATAACTATAAAAGAGGAAAACCAGCTATATAATTGATTGTTCAAATAAAAGAATACATGTTAAAATCTGCTAACAACACAAACTCTTATTCACATCAACTGCAGTACACCGCAACTAAATATCCTTGAAAAATATTTTTTATTTATCATTTTAGGAAAATACATGCAGAAAAATCTTGATAATTCAAATCAATAATTTTGTTTACCAATGGTCTGGTTGATTGTCGAGCTACAACATTCCTCATTTGGATATTTCCAAACCGCTTTAAGTCTGAAGAGTTCAACAACTCCTGCTACTAAAACAGCACAAGTAGCAAACATCATTCCCAAACTGATCCTAAAAACCATGCCAACAGGTTTCCCACGCCGAGCCCAATAAGGGTAGATAACTCTGTCAAAGAGTGGCAGAAGAATGATGAGGAATATCACATCAAATAAAGTAAACCAAGCTGCCACAACCTGAAAGAAAGTGAACTGATTATAACAAAAATCCCACAAAGGATGTAGAGAAAATTTCCAAATGAAAATATTTAAACTGACCTTTTTACACCTAATTTACGATCTTAATGAGCATTTATGCTAATTCTTTTGTTGTTCAGTGTTGTCTTAGTTTTAATTGAGCTAAAATTAGAGTACTTACTGTGCTTTTGTTTTGATTGGAGTCTGGGGAGTAATTTGGGAAACTGTTGTTACATATTTTGAAAGTTTCTGCATGTGATAAATGAAGTTTCATGTGCAATCCTTGAAGTTCAAAAGTTGTCTGCATCTTAACGAAAAGTGGAAAAAAACAATGAACATATGCCAACTTTGAAATGTTTATCTTAGATTTTTTTTATCTTCAAGTTAATACAGTAACTTCCTACAAACCTGGAAGTAGACCATCCAGTAAGGCAATGTGGTGAGAAATACACAGAGAATTTTCAACAATTGTTTCACATCATCTACTGCTGTTTCATGGAAACTTCCACCATATCTATATTTAGCACGGTCAAGGAAGGAGGGGGAAGACTCGCTAGAGGGGAGCTCTGGAATGTCTGATATATCTGCACTGTTTATTAAATACAATGCTCTTATCAAACAAAAATGCTCTTCTTCTATTCCATAAATTCCGAAAACAAACATAATTATAATTCTTATACAACTACAGAATATCCTAAGAACTGTAGGAAAACTTACCTGACTTGTTCAACATTGTTTATTCTGTTTCTATTTATTTTCCGTCTTTGGCAGGACTCGAATAAAATTTTGAAAATATTGGTCAAAATGCTTCCTGTTTTTGGTACATAAACATATGACCACCATCCTAAACACAAGTGAGTAAAAAGAAATGAAATACAGCAGCTCATAAATGTTATCCACATACCTCAAATTTTAAGTTTGATTATGATCACAGATTAATGGATATTAAAATGAACATACCTATCAAGAAAACAATACAAGACAAAGCCAAACAAATATTTGCAGTCAGGTATCCATAAGAGAACTTGTAATCCTGCTGCACATAAGTAATAATTGACAGAGCAATGAGAGTTCCAAGGTTGATGGACCAATAATACCAGTTAAAAAAGGCTAAACTTGTCTGTGGACCCTCTCCTCTCACCTGAAAGAAAAGATTGATCAGCACAGTTCATGAAAAATGGAGAATGAAAATTAACACCTGTCCCGCTATATCATGTATACATTAAGACCTAAATTGGAATTCACAATTTAAATGGTACGTGGTTTGGTCAAAAGAAAAATAAAATACATGTAAATATATATTTCTGACCTGGTCTGCACCAAATGGTGCTATTACAGATCTGAATATTCCTGAACCAAATGCTATAATTGTCAGGACTCCAAAAATGAGGCCTGCACAGTTTTCACCAGATAAGTCCGTTTCTTCTTTGCCATGACTGACAATGATATCATACATTTTATTTTCATCAAAGTCATTTTTTCCACAAATATCTGGTAAAACTGTAGTATTTTGTGATGTTTCTTTTTCAAAGGTTATTACAGGCAGAAAAACATATCCCGCCAGGTAAATTACAAAGGATAGTAGAAGTGTTTTGAATTTTCCAAGCCAAGTGTCTGCAACTATCCCGCCCACAAATGACAACACATACGATATTCCAAGGAAAACGAAAGTACAATAAAGGGCATTGTAAGACTTCCAACTGAACGGAAGACTGTTGAGAAACAATACGAGATTCCCTGTTAGACTATAAAATGCAAGTCTTTCCAGTGCCACTGTTAGAAGTATAGATCCCTGGGCTACTTTCACTTTAAAGGCGTTTCCTGGTCTTGGTTCGCTCTCGCCTCTTCTGTTGCTCAACAAGCTTCTCCTCTCGTCCATTGTTCTTCTATTTGATTTTGTATTTATCACATATTTCTGTTTGTAATGTCACCCAAAAGGCTCCGCAAACATCATGATATTCAGTATGCATCCTTTTGTTTACATCATCAGATTGTCACATGACGCCTCTATATTGAACAGGTCGCGTCTCGAAGAATTCGACTTGACATTGAATCGCCGATTACGTAAAATCGGGTAGTGAGTTGTCGGTTATAAGCAGTCTGTCCTCTTCCCAGATTATTTAATTTTAATATTTACCCTGTAAAAGGTTAATGATAACACTTATTGTGATTTATACAGATAAGATAACCCAGTTCGTTGATATTTAGAGATTAGGCCAAGCTTGAAAAATTCTTCGTTTGCAATATTGCCGACCTATATTTTTTTTTTAGAGTGGGTCGGTAGGTAGCAGAGGCATAAATAACATGTTATTTATTTCTCTGGTACGTAGGTAGGTATGATTTTTTTTAAAATAGAATCTATAAATTGTCAAGTTTTTGTTGGCTTACAAATCACAGAGATTTTCATAGGGGTACTTAATAAATAAAGCACCACCATTTTTTTTTATTTTAGGCCTATATATATATATATATATATATATATATATATATATATATATATATATATATATATATATATATATATATATATATATAGTATAAATCCACACACGTATTGTTATAATAAAAAAATCACAACACCGAAATAAACTCAACCGGTTTCATTTCCAATCTTCAGGAGTTTGACAATACAATGCTTAGTTACACAAAATCGACATTCATATTGTGACGTCATAAAGCGTCAATACTTAGTTGCGCTTTAGCAAAGTTCATTATGACGTCATGATAATACGTACGTAAGTTAATACGGGAAATTAGATTTTTTCATACAAACAATACAGTTATATTATGCGGGTAAAAGTATATTTCTTAAATGAAATATAATTATGTTGCATTTAAAACAGGTTTATGTCTGTTTATAAAATGTTTTTCTTTAGTTTCACGTTCTTTTTCTGTAGTATCCCTTCGGAATTTGTAGAATGGAAAGACAGTAAAATTAGGGGTTTTATTTTTGGCACAGTTTCTGATGTGTTCGCTTACGGCGGTACACTGGTATTTTGGTTCCCTAATTTGTTGTCGGTGTACGGTCATTCTGTGTCAGGGTGTCTCCTGTCTGGCCGATATAATTTTCACCACAACCGGCGCAGGTTATTACATAAATAAGATTAGAACTGGTGCATGACATTGATGTTTTAATAGTAAATACGCTTCCAGTTTTAAATTGAAATTTGGATCCCTCTGTCAGGTATGGGCAAGTACTGCATCTTGGCTTGTTGCATCTATTGATGTTTGCTGGTTCATACCTGACAGAGGGATCCAAATTTCAATTTAAAACTAAAGCGTATTTACTATTAAAACATCAATGTCATGCACCAGTTCTAATCTTATTTATGTAATAACCTGCGCCGGTTGTGGTGAAAATTATATCGGCCAGACAGGAGACAAGACACAGAATGACCGTACACCGACAACAAATTAGGGAACCAAAATACTAGTGTACCGCCGTAAGCGAACACATCAGAAACTGTGCCAAAAATAAAACCCCTAATTTTACTGTCTTTCCATTCTACAAATTCCGAAGGGATACTACAGAAAAAGAACGTGAAACTAAAGAAAAACATTTTATAAACAGACATAAACCTGTTTTAAATGCAACATAATTATATTTCATTTAAGAAATATACTTTTACCCGCATAATATAACTGTATTGTTTGTATGAAAAAATCTAATTTCCCGTATTAACTTACGTACGTATTATCATGACGTCATAATGAACTTTGCTAAAGCGCAACTAAGTATTGACGCTTTATGACGTCACAATATGAATGTTGATTTTGTGTAACTAAGCATTGTATTGTCAAACTCCTGAAGATTGGAAATGAAACCGGTTGAGTTTATTTCGGTGTTGTGATTTTTTTATTATATATATATACCGATGAATTACAAAGTTTCTATGATATTTTAAACAGCATGAACCCCAACTTGAAATTTACAATGGAGAGTGACGAAAACAAGTTACCATTTTTAGATGTTATGGTCATGAAAAAAGAAGGGAAAATCGTAACTGACGTATATTACAAGGCCACGGACACAAAACAATACCTTCTCTACGATTCCTGTCATCCAAAACACATCAAGAACAACATTCCATATAATTTAGCTAGGCGACTCTGTACCATAATATCGGACAAGGATATTTTAAATGTCAGACTTGATGAGTTACGGGAATTATTAAAACAAAGGCATTATCCAACATTACTAATTGAAAAAGGAATAGACAACGCCAAACTACATGACAGAAACAGCCTACTTCAGATACAAGAAAAACCCGTAAAAAATCTCATTCCCTACGTATCTACACACAATCCAAAAAATCAAGAATTTTTCCAAGTCATCAAAACCAACATGCCAATTTTAGAGAATGATCCAAGGATGAAAGACGTATTCAGTGAATTTCAGTTGATCAAAAGTAAAAGACAGAGCCCATCCTTAAAGAAGATTTTAACACGAGCCAAATTTAACAATACAGAGGAAACAGCCGGTGTTAAAAAATGTCATCATCCAAGATGTGGAACCTGTCCCTTTTTACAGGAAACCGAACAATTTATTTTTAAAAACGGAAGAAAATTCGTTATTCATTCTTCTTTTACCTGCGAAAGTTCAAATTTGATATATGTCATGACATGTTCAGGATGCGGCGAGCATTATATTGGCCAAACCGGGGACACCCTAAGACACCGCATGACCGTCCATCGTCAACAAATTCGTCAAACTGAATACCAGTGCACTGCCGTGAGCGGACATATTAGAACATGTGCTGAAAACATTTTTCCTAATTTTACAGTGTTTCCTATATACAAGTTCTATAACAAGACTTCCGAAAAGGAACGTGAAACCAAGGAAAAACATTTTATTTCATTGTTTAAACCAAAGCTAAACGCCCTGTCATAATAGACAATTTACAATTTTCCCGCATTATTTGTCTAACTGTTAACGTAATAACGTAACATAATGACGTCACAATGAACTGTACTAATGCGCAACACTTTTGACGTTACATGACGTCACAATATACTTTGAAATGTTTGTATCTATAGCAATATGTCAAACTCCTGATGATACAATTGAAACCGGTAGAGTTTTAATCGGCGTTCTGTTATTTTTTACTATATATATATATATATATATATATATATATATATATATATATATATATATATATATATATATATATATATATATATATATATATATATATATATATATACATCTCAATTTCTTACAGAAGCCTGAATTTATTTTCAATGAAGATTTCATTTAAAAGATATTGAAAAGTAGTGAATTCGTGAGGACAATAATTAAATGGCCATGCTGATGGAAGCAGGAAGAAATAAATGATTTAAAATGCAAAAATCCCATAATGGTCTATTATTGGAAAATGGGAAATCATGAACATAAAAATGTACAATATTGAATTGATTTTCATCACATGGATACATTGTCAATTATTCATATGTACTTCAGAGATTATAATTTAAAAAAAAAAAAACTTAATTAAGTTATACATAGTCATATTCATTTTGAGAATTTAGCATTTAGAGTAAATTTCTCAATTTTGAAATGTATGGAATTAAAATTTTGACAAGCAAATCCTTTTATGGGGTGGGTAAGGCTCTCAGCAAAAATAATTAGCATATATAATTAAAAATGTGGTTTAGGCTTTCCAGTTCGAAACCTGGAAATATAAAAATACTGAGTATCCTTTTCTTTTGCGATCGGTACGCTAGTCTACGCTAACTTTTATTCTAATTCGGCATAATTTTCTTATTGTCCCCCGTTTTCGAGAAAGCGGAGGGACCTGTCACAAAGACTTTAACCTTGGTCATATCTTTTGAATGAGAAGAGGCGGTATTTTCATGTTCTTTGAATTTGCTTGTTGTCATACTGAAAAATGTATGGGATTTTTTCAGTCATAGCGAGTCTGTCCTACATGTCTTAATTTCCTATATGTGACGTCTTTTCACAAAAATGTATGTTTTATGCAAATTTGGGACAAACTATTTTTTTTTTAAATGAATCCAAAAACCCACTTATATTGGAAAATTATTTTTTTTAAGAATAGTCCTGGTTTTAAGGTATCCTTTTAGCTATTTTTATTGTCGTACGTGTGAATGCAACTTTATAGGCAAATATTTTCCATCTTTTTGAGTATTTTTCAAATTGTGGAGATTTTACAAAAAGTGTGCTTTAATGTTAGATGAAATATCAAGGACATTTTTGTTACAGCTGAGATTTTCAAATTCATATTTCTCGCACCATAAGCATTTCGCTTCTCTCATTATTTCCATTTTGGGTACAAAGAAGGCTCAGAAGACTATTGGTTTCCAGTACGGAAACCAATAGTCTTTTGAGCCTTCTTTTTTACGTCTATTACACACAAATTAGTGTCCTCGCAAACTTTGCGAAGGGAATTTACAATGTAAGTCTATAGTCTTTTCTCTGTAATAAAAATTGGTATTGATTTTGTTGCATTTAATTTATCATCGGTTCCTATTCTTTCCAAATGATACCTTCGAATGGGATGGTAATAATACACTGTATATACATGTACATTTAAATATTACATCGGCAAATATTAATATATTTAGGCAATTAAATATGCATAAATTCTAACAGATTCATAGGATATTTTATTCCTTTATATTTACATTTGCAAAAGTTTTCCTTTATATAACACTACTGAAGGCAAGCGTTTTTATAACTGTATAAATACAGGTATGGGGTCAAGAGGTCATAGATGTGCGTTTGAATAAACGTTCGACGTAATTTCTCTGTGACGACATAAAGGGTCGACGCGCGTTTAGTGGATTACATACTTGCCGTTGGGTTTGAAAAATTAACGCACTTCACACGTTAAAAGTAACAATCAGGCAAATATAAAGTATGAATAAGTCACAAATGTAAATATAAGTAATAAGGTATCATTTTTTGAGTTTTATTGAGATGTAAAACGGGTTGGCACATTATCAAATCTTCCATAAAGCCCGAAATGGGATTTGATCACGTGACCAACCCGTTTTACATCTC